ACAGCTAACACTATTTAACTTTTAGCTCTTCACTGGATGAATCTAAAGACATCCTTTCTTGCCCATTTTCATCAAAAGTCAAACTAAGCTCTGTTTGAAGCAGAAATGCAAGTCACTTCCTCTCACATCTGGCAAATAATAAAAGTGATCCGCGCCAAAACAACATGTACAGCACACACAGTTCGAGAGCTGTTTATAAAAACAGCATAGAGCTTATGATTCCTAGAGGCACTGAGGGACCGAAGGCAAATTGGCCAAATGTTCATACTTCAAAACTTGCATACATGTTCAATCACAGCAGTGATTGCTGTGACCGACTAAATAGGAAAGGTAGGAGATTTTACCCATCCCAAAGAAATCTGAGATATTTATCTTGCACAGGATTAAAAATACATGTAAACAAGAACCCAAAAGCAGAGGAAATTCTGAGTCTATTAATAAAATAGCTCATTTCAGTTATATGTCAATTATATCATATCATTCTGTGTGCCAAGGCTAACACAGCCACAGATCCTACTAAGGAGATGCTTTCTCAAGCTTTTCTGTGAGCTGAAGACAGAGATGGGGGAAATGACTGAACTCTCAATCCTTCATGTTGCTCCACTACACTTAATCTATCATTTTATTTTCATGCCACATGTATATGACATATGGATATAATGCTGGCCTTAACTGGATTTCCTTAACAATTACCCATTTAGTTTGCAATCTTTTTTTTAATAAAATCTTTGTCTTCATGAAAGATATTTGATTGCAACAGAAAAGAAAACTGAAATTACTTCTCAAAGTTTTGAGCAGTTTGTTTAAAGCCCAGCTGACTCGTGCATCCTCTTTTCACAGAATCATAGAATGCCTAAGGTTGGAAGGGACCTCTAGAGATCATCTAGTCCAATCCCCCTGCACACCCAGGGTCACCTAGAGCACGTGGCACAGGACTGCGTCCAAGCAGGTTTTGAAGATCTCCAGAGAAGGAGACTCCACAACCTCTCTGGGCAGCCTGTTCCAGTGCTCTGTCACCTTCACTGTTAAGAAATTTATCCTTAAGTTCCTGTGGATCTTTTGATGCTTCAGTTTGTGGCCATTACCTCTGGTTCTGTCGGTGGCCACCTGTGAAAAGAGGCCAGCACCATCCTCCTCACTGCCTCCCTTGAGGTACTTATTTACACTGATCAGGTCCCCTCTCAGCCTTCTCTTCTCCAGGCTGAACAGGCCCAGCTCCCTCAGTTTTTCCTCATAGGGCAGATGTTCCAGGCCCCTGATCATCCTTGTTGATCATCCTTTTGCTAATGTGTCCTATTCTTTAAGCTTAGAAGGGAGTTCAGCCTGTATGCATGTCAAGGACTGGCAGTTGACCTGTGCTGATAGTTCTGTAACAACCAAAGACACTCAACACCTTCCAGAATGTCTGTCTAGGACATGTCTGTATTGCCACAGCACTGAAAAATGACATGAGTTTCCATAGATTTATCTTGACAGTATCCTTAGATAGTTGCGAAACATTATCTCTTCAGATGGGGAATGGAGACAGACAGGAGTTCCAAGCAATATGAGATGGAGGGTTGAGAATTTCTGAGTAACAGCCACCTATTAAACAGACTGGAACTGAGAGAATCAATATGTATTACAGAAGTCAAAGAACAACATCTGTGTTTCTGCTCAGTTGTCTTTAATTTTAATATGGCCTTTTCAAAAAGAAAGCTTTGAAGTTGCTGTTTATGTTCTTGTTTGAAAAACATTTTGCTTTCTCCTAAATCCCATAGTATTTAGTTTTTCCAAGTTCCATGGCACATTTCAAAGTGTTTCCATTTCTGATATCTGAGAATTATTTTTTGCTTTCAAATACAACTTTACAAAAACTTTATGCTAATAACATTTTAGAAGCTTAAAAAAAAAAAGAGTCTGCAATAACACAATAACAGATTTGTCACATCTCTTGTTTTTTCTCGTTGCTTTGCTAGCTCGAAGCCTTTATTTTCTTTCAGACTGGAAACTCCAGTGTTTAAAATCATGTAGTGCCCTCTAGTGGGAGAGCTGCTCTGTGCCCAGCTGCTGCTCTAGCCATACAGGCCTTACAGGTCATTCGGATCTTAAGCCATTACATTTTGACATTACAATTACAGACTATGTAAAAACGGCAGGAAAAAGGATCAGTTCATCCATCTTTTAAGTGCAAGTTATTTTCCATACCTATTTTTTAATCCAGTCATTTCTAATTATGATGAGACAGTACAAAGAGCAAAACAAAATCACCTGGGGTAACAAAATAAAAGATAGCAGTAAAAAACACATACTGACTGAGCATTAGAGTTAACTCACTTTTAGAAATTTATTGATGAAAACTGGCATGTCTGAAGCCATTTGCTTGCACAAAGTACCATTCAGTGTGTTTCCTGCTATGAAATGTTTCAATATCTGGATATCAAACACATGGTTTCTTCAGGGTCTCATAATGTGATTTTCATAATCATAACGGTGACGACAGGAAGACTAAACATAAATAGAGATTTATCTTAACTCATGGTAGAATCACTTTCTTTTTCCCTCCTAAAGCATCAAACATAGAGGAAAAATACCAAAATTGGGCTGGAAGGAAAAAGTTAGGGGTTCATGCAAACTTTTTATTATTGTTGGTTGCAGACTCTCGTTTGCTTTTTCCTAACTCAGGATAGCCTAAAGGTTATAATCACTTGCATCTTTACCTTTTCCCTTCATGTTCCCAAATTTCCAATTACAAACTTTGCACCCACACAGAAGAACTCACAACGCTTTCAAGTATCCCTTTCAGCATAGATTCTCAGAGGACTTGAGATGTCCAATTCCAAATGAAATCAATGAGATAACTACCCTTAGACATCTGGGTACATTTAGCTTTAGTCTAGCTTTCAGTTTCACCTCCAGAAATACAAATTCACAGCAACACATTGAACAATAAACATTTTTCACTGGATTGCAGACTATCAACTCGATAGCTTCAGAATAACATCTACACTAACTCTGAAAAATGTATTTTCCCCTGAAGATGATAGATATTTCCTTTCCAAAGAAAGTCTTCGAAAACATGTTTTGTCCAGCCGTAATGCCATAACTTGGTACTTGTTCTCCTTGGTTTGAAACACTTGGCTCTTGTGGTCTGAGCAGCAAGAAACAAAGTTCAATCACTTTAGATCAACTTGGCACTGTAGGTGACTACAGGTAGCCCAAGAAGGTGGCTTCCTCAAACCCTTTGAATATTTTTTTTCAGGGTACTCGCTGCTTTTGCAGATTGATTTTTTGTTGAAAGTAAACCTTTTCCTGATTTAAAAAAAAAATGTTAATTTGAAAATCCACAACAAAATGCCTACACATGATAATAGAGTTGCCTCACTGGTGGGAGAGAAATGGAAAACATAATTTC